GTAGTAGTAGTCGTAGTCGTAGTCGTAGTGGTAGTCGTAGTCGTAGTCGTAGTCGTAGTAGTAGTAGTAGTAGTAGTAGTAGTAGTAAGGCACCTTGCTACTAAAGACTTCCACCAAAGACTTAGGATTTTCATCCAACCTTTGCGAATTCGCCAGGCAAGCCATGAAGGATGGCCAGGCTATGGCTCTCAGAGATCGATCGGAGCAATGGGTTTGTGATGACTGGAGACTGGAGATGGACGAAGGAGTCGACAACAAAGAAAGAACACATTGAACACATTGTGAGAAGAATGAACATTGGACACGTGTTTCATCAATATACAGTACATATCTCTGCATATATTATACAGAGTCTGTATTTGATGTGGAAGGAGTTTGTTGGATCCAATGTCAAATGCCCAACGCAGTTGCTGGAGGTTGACTTCTGTGTGCTAGCTTCCTCCGCGTCCCAGCCTGCTACGGATCAGGGGTTTATGGCCATGGGAATGTCGAATGCGAAACCAGCGATGTCGAAGAAACCGCACACAGTTACATCCACGGTGAAGGGCCAATCACAGTCACCCTGGTCACACCCAAAAAGGCGGCAAGGTGTCAACTGGTGTCGAAAACATGGAGAAGACGGCAAAGACATCTATGGATGGCCACAAAGGTGTTCGTTTGAGCTCTAGAGATAACAAAAACACACACACACACACAAAAGACATCTAGATATAAGTACACAACAAGTCTCTCTCTCTCTCTATATATAAATGCATGAATACTTACATAATATTTTCAAAATATACATAGATACATACATACATACATCATAGACTGATCTCCTAAGTGCTTGCCCTGATGGCTAGCGGCTTGGGTGGCGTCTTCGAGCGGTATGCTCATTTGCAGCCAGAGCTGCCTGCCGTGTTGGATCCTTTGGAAGGGGTCTGGAGCTATCAGGAGACCGTGTGCAGTGCTGGAAAATCGGAGATGTCCTTGAAACATCCAAGAGGACCGTGTGCAGTGCCTAGTCACTCTTAGTCCTTTGGATTCCAAGTCCACGGATCAACATCGGACGATCACATCGTGCCCTCACCAGGAGCTGTGGCACTTCTCAGGGCAAATCTGCGCACACTTCCTTCAGCTGGGCTTGCGAGGCGAGATCGAGCCCAGCTCTGGGGTGGCTCCCGTGGCCCCAAGGCCACTAGCAGTTCCTTGGAGACACGACCACAGCACAGCACAGCACGAGCACTGGAGCCAAGGCTGCCAGCTTTGGCTCCATTTTTGGGTATGGGTCTAGTATGTTTAGTTACTGTATACATACAACATTATACAAGTTTAGTTGAGCTACTATCTACAGTAGTGGTATGCGCATGGACTGATTGACTACAGATTTTCACCGTTGTTTTTTTTTGTTTCTGTGTATGTATGGTCTACATGTGCAAATATGCGTGCGAGGATGGTCTTTTTCCTCCGATATATTGGGCCGATTGTGGACAGAATGGGGGATCCCAACTCATGGTTGATTCTGTTTCAACAATAGCTGTCGCCAACGTATCTATCTATCAAAGAAACAATATATATTTGATATTCCTACCGCTCGGCCCTGTTGCATTGACATTGCATGCACAAAATCAGATTTGGAAGAACTGTTGAAGACAGTGCCAGCACAATGGGTACAAATGGGTACATCGGGCTCTCAAGAGTAGAAGCGGGGATGCAGATTTGTCTGTGGCAGGCAACAAGCGTGATATGGCTGTGTCGCCAGCTGCGCATTTTTTTGTTTGTTTTGGATGTCTTCCACATCCACCGGACTTTTTGCCAAACAGTCCGCACTTGGGATTCTCATTCTCCACTTCCAAAAGACGTACTTTATTCGGTCGTCTTCTTTTTTCCTTTTTCGGTCAAAAGCTGTCACTGCGCAGAACCGAGCTTGCAGGTTTTCCTGCAACCTGGCCGAGTTTGGTACTCTGCCTGCGTTGCTGCTTGGCGCTTGGGACTCCCCGTGGTTCCGCTGGAGGAGGACTTTGCCAAGGAGCCACTGGCCGCAGCACGTGCTCAACGTGCTCTGGCAGAGCTCCGCCCTCAAGCGGTGCTTTGCACGGGGGCTTTAGAGTCGCATGGCTGGTTTTGGTGGCCAACACCAGGGACCCGATCAAACAGGGTTGGAGGAGTGAAACGATGGTGAACCCCCCTGCAAGATGTCCAGATGTCCTTTTTGCACTTTGAAAGACTTCAGGGAAGGGGGCAAAGTGATGCGGTCCAAGGTTGGAGATTGAAGATTGCTTGAGAGTGTCTTTGGAGCAGCTGCAGAAGGTCTTGGCGGCTGATGTCATGGCAATCCCTTCCTTCCCAGTTGCGCCCGAGACTGTCCTATGCTATGTTTACACGGGTGGCACCACACGGCATAGCAAGTGTGTGGCTATCACCCATCAGATGGCATTATGGGAGGTCGAGCACTATGCTACCGCCTTAAAAGGTCTTGCTGGAAACACAGATCGCATGCTACAGTATGCATCCGCCTATTGGGGTGCAGCCCTCTTTGGTCAAATGGACTTGGCCTTGGCCTTTGGCGCTTGCAGCGTCATCCACTTGGCCAAACAGCCAGAGGACATCGCTGTGGCCTGCCGCAACTTCAACATCACCGTCCTTGGCATCGTCCCATCGCAGCTTCGAGCATGGCCCGGTGTGAAGGCCAGGCCCAGCTCCTTGCGGTTGCTGGTCACCTGGGCGGAACGAACGCCGCCAAAGCTGGCGAGGGAATGGAAGAGTGAAATCCCCGTGATCGAACTGCTGATTGCCAGTGACCAGGTTTTGACCTCGCATAGGCTGAGTCGTTTTCTTTTTGTTTGGCTGTTTCGGAGGCGCGGTGTTTTTAAAGGTTCTGGCTGTCCAGTCATATCATTTCATGTTCATCGAGGTGAATACTGGCTGTCTTTCTTCTCGGAGTGCTTCGTTTGGACAGATGTGGATGGAGTAGAACGACATGTACTTCACCCCTTGCCACAGCTGGACTTTAAGCTGCTCAAAGAAGATGGATCTGAAGCAGCGCCTGGTGAAAGTGGTGAACTCTTCCTCAGTGGAAGCACCGTTTTCGCCGGATATGTTGAAGAGACAGGAGCGGTCTGGGGGTTTGAACGTGTTGCACTGATCATTGATGCTTTGGGCAGTCCTTGGGTAAACAGGTTTGAGCGTGCAACAGAAATGTGCTCCTCAACCGACACAGCTCACAGGGTGTTGCTTATATTATGCTTATATACCTGACAAAATCTGACAAAGACAAATCAACACCTGACCTGGAAGTCAGCATGGGGTATACCCTTTCTATGGGGTTATCCGTTGATCCGATTTGACAATTTCGAGGCCAGATCTCAGAGAGTTTCTTCCAGCAAGTGGATGGGCGAAGATACTTCCGCACGCGAGATCGACTGAAACGGCTTCCAAGTTCTGGGCTTCCGGCTTTCGTCTATATGGGTCGGGCCGACTCCCTGCTGAAGATTGGTGGAGCCTGGCGGGACATGGAAGCGGTGGAGGCCACGGTTTCAGCTCTTCCTCAAATTGCAGCTTGTGCCATTGTCGCGGATGGTGATGAGTTGTCTGCATACCTTGAACTGGAGAATCCCCGTGGAGCAGATGCTTCACCAGCACGTGGGGAACCACTGAAGCGAGTTCAAGAAAGGGCCTTGCAAAAGCTGGGATCCCTTGGGATTTCTCAGGTGCCCGAGTTGGGAGGGGCGAAACACGCCAACGGCAAGACATCAGGTTTTTCATGATCAGAGTCGGTTCTCAGATCTCCAATCAGCCTCTAGATGCGTTTTTTTTAGAAGTTTTGGTTGGTACATGGTTTGGTTTGGCACCTTTGTCTCCAACCCGAGCCTGCCAGGTGCACATTTGGTCTTCCCTGCCATTGCATCCGAAGACCTCCAAGGTGAACCGGCAAGAGCTTTTGGCCGACCTGGCCCGCCGGAAGTCTCGGGAGCTGGCGTGGACGGCGAAGCTGAAGGAGGTGCAGAAGAAGATGATCAAAGGCGCCCGAAGCAAGACTCACGAACGCGGTGGCTTCTTTCGCGTGTCTTGACTCGTCCGTGTTCCGGACCTCGGCCTCTTCAATTTAAACTAGACAGAGCCAGGATGAACCCTATGCATGTGGACAGAAAGGGGGACAGAATAGGACAGAAGGGGACAGATGCAGAGAGATGCAAAGTTGGCTTTTCCATCTAGTTGGAGCCACTCTTCAAGATTCTTCAAGTCTATAATAGAATGGTAGTGGTACTGAGATGTCTATTGCACCGCTTACCAAGCAATCAGCGGTTCTCTTCTTCGGCTGTGCTGCTGGGCATGCCCAACGCAAAACCGACATGGTCTCCCCTGAAGGCTATGCAGTTTGGCACATCTTCACCATCGCCCTCGTGTTACTCTCAGGCCGCCTTCATGGCTCCAAGATGCTTCTGTGGCGGTTATTGAAGCTGCCTTATCTTTGGACAGCCTTTCTCTACTTCTGGCAGCGACTGGGGAAGAATCGACATCGATGGGTGGTGTTCAATCTTCCGGTGGGTCCGCCTGATATTTTCTTGCTGCTTGCAATGCTGGTGCCGAACTTCTTGCTGAAGCAATTCTTTCTTGTCTGTATTGCTGCAATATCTTGGTTGCGGGATCGAGATGGCATTGCAGCTTCCGGCTTCCTGTCTTTAGGCATCGCTGGGGCCTCGGAGGCCTCTGCTGCGAAGATGACAATTCTGCTAGGTCTGCTTGGTCGCTACTGCTTTCGACCCAGCAGATTGCAGTTCTTGTTGGGTTTGCCTTGTGCATACCTCTTCAGCTTTCCAAAATGGTATCGAGATGAGTTCGTTGTGCGATCCACCTGGGACAGCTCCTATCTCCGACGCTTCCTCCTACGATGGATTCCCGCTTTGCAGAAACCTCCCTTCGATGCCAGCTTGCGCTTTAAGAAAGAAGATGTGGCCTACGACTGGGGATCTGAAAAGAGATGGGTGAACGTGTGCTTGAACACGAATCTTGGACTTACTTTCTAGACTCTTTAGAACCAAAACTGTTTTGTGGAAATCCGCCTCGCAAAAAGAATGATCAGCAGCTCATGCATTCCTCTAAGCCATGAACATTTTGATTTACGCTTGAAACGGAGACTTTATGCGTCCAGAGCCATCCCTCTTTCACAGACTTTGCCAACCAGGAGAGAGTATGGATCGCTAGCACTCCTGAGCTTCTGGGAACCCGTGCGCCCTGCGATTCTTCCTCCAGAGCCGGGCGCATCCACAGCCACAGCCGCACCGGCACCAGTGCTGCAGACCGAGACCGAGCCTGGTGACGGCATGGCCAGGTCGTTGGCTTTGCTGGTGGCGCGAGTGGGTGGAGACCCCTCTGGCCTATCTTTGGATTCTTTGTGGCCTGTTGGAAAGCCAATTGAGACCCTTTTTGAAGTGCTAAAAGAATAGGGACATTGAATCCAGTGGTGCCTTTTCCCCCTGGAGCCCACCCTTTCAATCTTTGTGGTCACCGTGTCCAGCACCGCAACCACGGTACAATCTTGACTTTGAATGAAGAATCCACTTGCCAGTATCCAAAGCCAACAAATAGGGGATTCTCAAGAAGTGTTGAGAGCAAATGCCAGCTCACCCACCATGCAGGAGGTGGCTGTGATGACTTCATTCCAGACCACCTGAAATGGCCCATCTCCCCCACTGCTTAGCGAGGCAAGCGATTCGGCTGGCTGAGTTGGCCCGACACGAGCTGGGGCTCGTGCTGTCACCCGGGCTGGTGCTACGAAGTGCCGACGTAGAGACCTTAGTGGACTCCTTAGACGCTGAGGTTCAGGAGAAGTGGTTGACTTGATTCTGCTTGGTCTGCTTGGTGCGAGAAATCTTATATAAATCTCAACGAATCTCAGAACCAAGAAGTTGAGATCATCTTCAAACTTAACGTGATCTTTCCTGACGCTGGCAGTGTTGATCTGTAGTTGTAGTTTGAGGGAGTGAACGCCAGGGTCCTCCTAACACTGGTTCTTCTCACTCTGTTTCCACTGCAGCCCTGAAGGGCCAGAAGAATCTCTTCTGACTCCACAAAAAAACGCAACAAGCAAACAAACTGGTAGCCAATATTCCTGACGCTTCGCGTCGACCGCCGCCCACACCTTCTTTTTTTTTCGGTCGCCTGGGGAAAGACTGCTGGAGTGGACAGGGGAGGTCGGGAGTGGTGTCCAAAGAGATGGCTTGTTTCCCGTAGCGTCTATGGCCATGTTGCGGCTGAGTTACGCACAAGTTCGCTCGTTTGGTGGCCATGTTAAAGCCAATTCAGGCTCCAAGTTCGACCGTTTTGTGGCCTTGCCCCCGCTTGGCTAGTCCACATTACATCATGTCAAGGCTAGCTTGATCGTTTGGTGACCCTGTGTTGAGGCTACGTGTTTTTTTGCAATAATGCTGGTTATGCGTTGCTGGTCAGGAGGGTTTTTCAGCATC